GAAGTATCTCCCCGATTGACACGAATGCCAAGTTCAACTTTGAGCGTGCACACACTCCAGCGCACAGCACGTAAATTTTTACATACATTTTTTTTTACTTAAATACCTTTGTACTCAATGCGCTACTCTCCTTTCGCTACTTCGTGCATGGTTGTCTATTTTTTTTTCTGGACTTTTTGCAAGGATAAAAATGTATGCGATCAGGGTCGCTCGTACGAGTTAAAAAATATTTTACGAATGTATGCAACGACGCTTTTGTGTACGATACGATTCGTTGGTATAAATATAAACAAAAAAATCTGAAACGTAGGTGCATAGCTGTTTTTGGCTTTTTGGCTTTTTGAGAATTTACGCGGGTAAGTCGGATCTGGATGTGCGCACGATTGCCAGGCCGCACACTGGCTCGTACTACTGATTTTTCCGTAGCCGGGCATCAATTTCAAACGAAAGAGACAAGCGAGCGTACAGATACGAGCGGTACACCACGCTTTTGATCAGTTATGCCGTTGTATCGTTTTAATCAAGAAAAAGCCATCCATCAGCTGATCTAAACAGTGCACAAGTGCTTCCCAAGCAATTGATCTTGATGTCCTTTGACGTGAGAGTGGCCCTCGTCCTTCGCTATCTATGTAGTTCAATTCCCTTTCTCTCTTCCTCTCCCTCTTTCCCGTTCGCGCGTATACCTATACTCTAATGGACTTTGTTTGCTTTGTACCAGCGTGCTCTTATCACCATGTATATATAGCAGTATTTCGCCTCGGGGCCAAGCCTTGCGTTTACCAACGTACATATACACATGGCTATACATATCGAACCGTGAAATTTTCCTACCGAAGCGCTATATAGTGATTTGTGTAAAATTTGTTTGGTCTCGTGTAATTATTTCATCTCCGTCTTGACTGCGCGCCGAGTAATATGCCTCTTGTTTGTGTACATCGCGCTAAAGTTTCAATTACAACTGTTCGCTTTGATCTCCGATTCTAGGGTGAATAATTGCGATTGTAGCTATTATATATACACAAAACTGTTTACAAAGTGCGTTATTAAATTCAAGGAATCGGAATATCGTAGCTCGGTAAATGAAAATCTGCTTTGGCTTTGTTGGGCGGTAAATGTTTTTACTGTTGAACTAAACTATTTTCGTGCGGGGTATGCGCGTCGATTTTTATAACCATCCGTACGCATTTTAGGTGCGCAGAAGCTAATCGGTAAAGTACATAAAACGTAGAAATAATCAAATCATCATATTCCAGCTGAGTGGGGTTTTCTGCTTTATTTACGAGGAGAGAAAACCGTTTTAAGCCATCTTATTGCGCTCAGGTATATATACATCGAGAAATGGAAGATTCAGTCAAGGGGAAAAATTGCCTCGCACGCATAACCGCTAGTCCTTTAAGTCGTATTGCAGATATAAAAACCACTTACAATATGATCAACGGCCCCATAAGATAAAATAAAACTTATTTTTATTTCCCCGCACGTACTTGCGCGTGAGCCTATGCATACGTATACAAACGAGTTATACGGGAGAATGAAATTTTTCGTTTGTAATATCGCCCGCATGTGTGTATAATAATACCTTTCGAAACCATAAATGACGGCGTAACGAGCGAAAACGGCCACATCGAGTGAATAAAAATTCGATTCTTCGGGGACTTTATATCTGTATCGTGTAACGGAGGCTCTCGGGGAGCGCGCAGTTATATCCGCACACACACACACACACACATACACCAGAGCACAACACAATCAACGAGTGTAAACGCGTTGAGTCGAAATTCGAAAGCGACCATACGCACGTGCGCGAGAGGCGCGTACGTATATAATAATCGGCGTATAGAAATAAAGGACAAATAAAAGCAGGGCACGTAAATGTAGCCGCGCGCGTTGCGACGTATAAATACGTGTTGCCTTCGCAATGGGTACACCGCTGCTGCTACTGCTACTGCTCGTTCTGATTACAATTTTTTTAGGCCAATTCAGTTTACGCGGATATTTATGAAAGCTCTTCGACGCTGCCACGCTGGTCAATGTTTCGACTCTCGAGAGCACGAAAAAACAAATAATCATTACACCGTATTGAATTCAAATGCAGGCCGTGCTTTTTTCGCTATCTAGTTATTTTTGCTCTAGCAAATATCGCGGCTCCAACGAATCGTTATCGATTCGAGGGGAAATGTATAACTCGAACTTTGCCGTTTAATGAGTTTAATGCGAAGAAAAATTGCGAGACAAATCATGCGTACGCCCCTATTCGAATGAGATATTTCAAAGCGATAAAATAATGCGCGATGGGCAATCTCGATAAGCCCGCGGCGAATATATACGAACTCTCACACAAACACACGCTTACACACAAGCCCACGTCCCAGTTAGCAATAATAATTGGTATTATCGCGAGGTGTTGGTTTGCGTTATAATTCAAGAGATTTCATTGAGCGCAAAAAAAGAAGCGGAAAAAGCTCGCGAGTTTCTCGGGGCGTATGTTAATCGAGATGGCGAGAGAAACGGGATTGTGTATGTATGCGAGAAAATCACGAGCCGCGGGGCCGAAGTTTTTTAATACCCGATTGATTATTGATTCCGCGACTGGCGGGTCAATCACATGTATTAACGCTCGCCTGAACTTGGGTAAGATTCAAATAGTATAGGAGCGCGCATAGTTATATGCGAAGAGAGCTCCGCAGATTGAAACAATCGAATATCGTCCGCGATGTTTAATCAATATGGAAATCCCCGCGACTACTTCCTTAATGCACGCGTATTATGTATATCTAATGCATGGTAATAATTTGTCCTCCTCGTCCTCCTTTGCAAAGACGCGGCGCTGCTGCTACTGCTGCTACTGCCTCCCCGCTGCAAGCTTTAACGAATTTATCTTCAATTTCCGCTTAGCTAAGCTATCGTTAATTCTTGAAACGTCGCGCACCGAGAGGCCAGGGAATATATTTTCGCTGCCAGTGCTCCGCACACTGCCGCTGTTGCTCTGCGAGCTGCTGCTATTCCGCCGCTGCTCCAATAACGAAAACATTTGTTGTTGGCGTGCATAATTCGTGTTACAGCATAATCTGCATCATTGGGAATGTGCGCACACGTTACAGGGAAATTTTCTTCCCTCCCTCTCTCTCTTCCTCACCCTCTCCGTATATGCATTATAACGTATTAAATTCGTACACAGCAGCAGCAGCAGCACCAGCGGCAGCGGCGAAAGCAATTATTTGCGTTGTGTACGCGTTGCGTGTACGAATACGTACAAGTTAAACACAGCATCGCGCGCGCGTTTGTCAAGACAACATAGTAACTCGTTATACGATCTATACTACGCGCTTATGCAACGTACTCTGGCGCGCGCGCATAATATACTGTGTCTTGCTACCGCATAGACGTATACCTACATATAATAAGCAAGTTGCAGTTTGAGTCGACGACGACGACGACGACGCTGTGCTCCTACGTGTATATGTTGTGTTGCATATATATACATACATGCTGAGTGATGATAGCACGCGTCGTTGTCCTTAGATGGCCGTTGTGTGCTGTATACAACGTTAATATACATGCTACTACTGCAGGGCTAGGCTCAGACGCACCTGAACATCTAATGTATTATGTATGTATAAGAGCCCGTGCGTTTGTGTGTGCGTGGGTGTGCGTTGGTGTGCACGCAGCAGTGCTCGCCTCGTTACCGCGAGTCGAAGCCCGAACAAACCTACCGTGAGTCCGGATCCTCATACGACGAAATTACACCGTTTCTCCAGTCTCTATTAGCAATGTAGCTACCAAGTCTACGTGGCATCGTATAAGCAGCGGCAGCTAAGTAGTTTGTGTATCCGTGCGTGCCACCGTCCGCCCTGAGTAAGGCACTGGCTTTTCGTCCGCAAAATTCACTATCGTACCTACGTATTTGCGAGCGTTTGCTGTGCAAGCTGGCCTCTCCACTACTGAGTCTTCAGCGCACGCCAGAGAGACAGAGAGAGAGAGACATTGTCGAGGCACAAAATGGTCCACATGGCTACGTAAGCATCGAATTTCCGTTTATTTACCAATCTGAATTGAATGCGCGCGTGTGTGTATGTGTGTGTTTACGTGGCTAAAAAGGACTAAGCCAACTAGCGCACAGCCTGCTGTCTAGATGCGGTCGAAATCCCGACCGCAGGGTCATTGTTGTAGAATTTTCGACCCGTAAATATGTACCGCGAGTGTCCCTAGCTGTTGGGTGTACGTCGAGGACATTTTCCCTTTTAGCTAGGATTACGGCGCCTCTGAAGCGATTAGTGCTGCACTTTACACGAATGTTAGAGGCCATCGCAGGGTATAAGACAAATCAATAGCTGCAGATACATCGCAAATCTCGTTTATTCCAGATAATGTTTTCAATTCGTTATATTTTTCCTATTTCCAAACGCAGCGCGGTTTCATTTTATCAAAAATAAAAAAGGGGAAAAAATGTATCTGCTGCATCAAGCGATTTCGCGGGTATCATTTTTTGCACGCGCGTAAAAAATTCAATAAAGCTCAAATTCAACGCTTTGGCGAGAAAATGTTTTATTTCGACGCGTTACAATACACACGGGGCTTAATTTCACGTTGGCCGCGTATAGCGCTCGAGCGCGGGGGCGCTCATTCAGATCAACATTTGCGTTATCTATTCTCTTTTTCGGCTGCAGTCGAAACTTTATCGTTGGCCTAGCTGCGCGCCACGCGTACACACTACTGGCTCGGGTTGCGCTCGCCGCGGCAGTGTGTCGAGGCTTTGCCAACTTTAATAAATTTTGCACCACATCGTGCGTGTTATATATATAGGAATATATATGTAAGCGTGATATAGGAAAAAAAAGAGCAAGAAAAAAAGGGAAAACGGGAGCGAGCGCAGTTTTCAGACGTCGTAATAAGCGAAGAAGCAAAAGTCGAACGTTCGAAAGCTCGGTGCGCGATAAGACTTACCGGAGGGGGAGCAAAACCTCGCCGGGGGAAACATTGATACAACAAGAACAACTAACCGCAAGTATAAAGCTCCAGGCTGACCTAGTCTAGCGGCGTATGTACACGTTTGCTCCTCTTGCACGTCCCCGTACGTGTGTGGGTGCTGTAGTATAGATGTAGCGGATAGAGAAGCTCGGCTGCACGACGAGAGACACACACGTAGCGTCGCAGTAGATAGTAGTAGCAGCGACAGCGGCGTCGCGCGTTAGCAGCTCCGGCAAAAATGTGCGACAGAGCTTTAGTCTCTTTGAGTCTCCTCTTCAGTGGCGATGATTGCGAAAAGCCAGCAGAGTCGCTAGCATCACGACGAAGGGTGGATTGCTGAGTCTCAGCTGACCGCCGTGCTGCATGGCCGCTGGATGCTCACCTGTAAAACATCGTAACAGAAAACGTATTATGTATACTGCTTTGCGACTAGCGAGCACACTAGCATTACATCCACACACACATATATGTACATTTATTATATACGTGTATACAGGAGTCTCGTGCAAGAACATTACACGTTAATACTTAACTCGACTAGCTTGTACACACGTATATAATATATAATATTCGTATAAAGAGCGCATCAAAGCGAGGCTTAGGTACGCTCACCGTCTTTATATGCCGCACGTGTCGCATATAAGGTATGATAATCGACTTTGTGCGCGCATCTTGCATTTGAGATTCTCTCTGTGCTGCTGTGCTGCCTCTGCTGTTGCCGCGCTTGGGAAATATGGAGGAAAAAATTAACTTTTTCCTCATCGATAATCGACTCTAACGAGATGAATTATTGTATTGACACGAAACTCGTTTGCTGTGATATAATTTCAGAGAAAATTATTTGTGTTAGGTATGTAAATTTGCCTACTCACTGTTTGCGCCGCGCGCTGCCGTGATTTATCGAGTTTGCTCATTTGAGCTGTCTGATATATAAGTGGCTTTTTTGTCAGTCGGTATATAGAAAAAAAAGAGAAAAATTCGAGCAACCGACGTGAGCGAGCGAGCGAAGGGGGCCGTTTTAATAGATGGATCGCAACATCGTTATACCCAGCATCAGCGTATTTAACAATCCTGGGCTTGGCTGCACGATATATACGTATAGATACTGCGAAATAGAGTATACGTGGAGCTGGGAAATTGAGCCGGAGCAGCAGCTTTGTGTGAGTGCGCTGGCTCGTGTATGCGTAATCTATGCAAGGGACCCGATTTATATATATACATGTGTATGGAGTGCAACGAGCGATCGAGGGAGATAAAGGTTAGTACGATCAGGATACTATGGTACATCGCAAACGTGTACGTGAACATTCGTAGGTCTTTGTGTGTAATGAAGACAATGAACTAGAAGCCAAGCCAAATGGATACACTGTGAAGCGAAAAGTTGGCTATCGCGAGCGTGGCATGAAGCGAGAAAGAGAGAGAGAGAGGGAGAGAGTAAAGGCGCGCTCATGCGATACCTCAACGGCAGAGATATATACACATATATACCGATGGAAAGAGCTATGGCTCCTTTTCACGTTGATATCCTGGCGCGCACTGTGCTCGCCTGGCTATATCTATATGCGTGTTCTGAATGTAAGATGAACTGACCGCAAGCTCGAACATTCCTTGTGCAAGCACCATTTTCCAACTGCACTTCCACCTATCTCGAGAGCCCACGAGAGGGCTTGTGTAGCCGGTATTATCCGCTGTAGAATTTCATATTACCTTGGTTTATTTTCATTTAAACTTATACGATTGTGTGGACCAAGTAACAAATTCACTTTGGGGAACTAAGACGTTGCGTCGTTCCCGCGCGGAGAGAAATTGACAGTGTATAATATGCAAAGTCCACCTCGAGTATCGATTAAACTAATACGAGTACGAAACCTCAAAATAGTGTGCGTGTGTGACTGTGTGTATCAAGGGTAGATATATGTACGCGCGGGAGATAGAGGGAGGGAGAGAAAGCAGCAGCAGGCCAGCACGCACACGTCTGGCATTAATCATTCGCTCGCGTCCCAAACCGATGGGCTGCGATGCAAATTTCGTAATTTAGCCCAGGGACATTTTTTAAGGGATCAAAATTTCGATGGATTCGTTATAACGTAAGCGGCGGGCAGCATCAGCAGCCGTGTCGGCGGCGTGATGGCACACTGAGCGCGGCATGACGATTTAATATGCTCGCCTCGGAGAGCTGGTTTGTGCCTGTGTGCATGAGTTTGTAAAGCTTATATGTAGTCATCGACGAACAGCGATGTTGTACCATCTATCATATCACATGGGAATGCGAAATACAATGTGACATGACCCTTTTGCCTTTACAGATCGACGCACGCCACACGCACACACACACACACACACACGTACTAATATACATGCAGAGGCACAGCTCTCCCTCTCTTCTGAATTCTAATATTGTATATATGTATGTGAGAGCCGATATATGGATATAGTGTGTGCTATGTTTTGGTCCGGAGTAGCAGCTGTTGACTGGACGCGACGTGCGCGTGCTACTGCAGCAGTGTTCAGCGTGAAGCGTGAAGTATAGGGCTCAACTTTCGATAGGGAAGAGATTCTCTAACGGCGTCAGTTTTGTATACACATTGTCAGTCAATAAAATTCCCGAGAAAAAAGTTATTTGCCTCGCCTCTTTTCTATTTCTCTCTCTCTTCTCTTTCTCTCTTCGCTTTTCTTTTTCTTCTTCTTCTTCTTCTTCTTCTTCTTCTTCTCTGTTCTTCCATTTTTTCTTCAACAAGATCGGTGTGTTTGACCGGGGGATTTCTCTTTTTTATTCTTTTTTTCGGTTATACGTGCGATACAATTTGTGCATCCGACAGATGTATCGAGCACACCTTTATAACACACGTACATACGAGAATGAGACGAGCGTATCGGAGAGAGTGAAAAGAAAATATTTAAAGGCTAAAATATATTTTTATTCATTGCGTTGCCTGCAGACACTATTGCAACTACCGTACAAAGAGAGACAGAATAGTTTGATACATGTCGATGATTTTTTTTCTACTATTTTCCGTTTTTTTACTGCGCCTCTGCACTTCAAAACACGTTTTTTTCCTCGTCTTCTCCTTTCTCTAGTTGAGCGCTGGTTAAAATAAATGAACGGAGACTAGAAAAAAGGTTGAAGGGAAAAAATTGTTAACACGCTTCGTTATACATTTTCATACTTTCATCGATGAAATGAAACAATTTGCTCTGGCTACATTGAAACGCACACGTCCATCGCCAAGCGCGTGTCTACTGGTGCATTCGATATACGCCGTTGGTTGGTAATTTTATGTAAATTTTCGGTGTCGTATAAAATTATAAGCATCGTTCGTAGGTGTCGTCGTCGTCGTCGTCCTAGACTCTCTTCACTTGAAAGCTTTCCTTCTTGAATAATGTATAAAATGCGCAGTACTTCCACTTTCTCTTGCTCGGAGCTGCTCTTCGAATTTTCTAAAGCAGAGCACAGCAAATCGCTTGTCGCGTCGATCCGGACGCATTGCTTGTAGAGAGAAAGAGAGAAAGAGACAGACAGAAAGACAGACTTGCGGTGCAATCGGGTAAACAGCGAAATATCTCTTAAGCAGGCGTACAATTTGAATCCTTCATTTGCCTAAAACCTCGGTTGTACGTGCATAGTAACGAAAACAAAACTCGAGGATCGAGCAGGTTTTTTCGTGATTTTTTTCCGCAGCTTTTTTTCTTTGTTATTCCAGAGATTGATGAAAAATTCATCGCGGAATGCAACGGACTGCGGGGTCGAACTAACTTAACGAAGTCTCGTCTCGTCTGCTGCTGCAGCTACTGCTGATGCTCTCGTCGGTCGTCTGTTTTTCTTTATATGCAGGCGCGCGCGCGTTATACTTTAACATCCGCCAGCTGCGAGTCGAACTGCCAGCTCTATATAACTTTTTTTTTTTACGTTTTGCTCTATGCGACATTTTTCAAAGTGAAAAAAACACGTGCCGGTATTTGTGTGCGTGTGTGTGTGTGCGAATGTACGTAGTCGCGCTGGGTAGGTGTACGCGTGTACAATATGTATTGTGCGCGTCGCGAGAAAGAAAAAACCATGGGTACGCGAGAGTATAGTGCTTCCTTTCTCCGCGACTCTTGGTCCGTAATACGAGTGTCCAGGAAAATCCTTCCACGACTAATGGTAGCATTGAATATAACTCTGGAAGATTCTTCTTTTGCTCTTTTATTCTTTTCTTATTTTCCTTTCTTCGCGAGGCATGTGCACAGGCCTGCTTCTTCATTTTCGTACTTCGCAAGTATCTCTTGTATTTGCTATCAAAACGTGCAGTAGCGCTTTCCTTTTATGTGTACTATCTCCATTTTTTTCCTTCTCTCGCTGCTGCGCCGCTCTCCCTTTTCCCTGCACGAGATGTATTCGCAATATGCAAGCGCATTGAAATTCCATTGGAAAAAATTGCACGATTGGCGCATCCGTGAGCCTTTCTCTGTGCCGTCTCTGTCTGTCTGCCTTATTCTCTCGATACGATTCTTTGGAGAATTTTTGACATCGAGCCGTGCGTATACGTGACTATACCGCGTATGAAAAATCTTTGCATGACTTGGACCGATTACGTATGTATGGAAAGTGCAGCGCGGAGAGCTAACTCCAACTTCTTTCCATACCGACAATTTCCAAGTAAGAATGTATAATTTCATGAAAAACTCGCAATTTCTGATCGTTCGCCTTTCATCATTTTATGGCTTTCGTGTGTTACTACTTTCCTCGTGTACCCTACCGTGGGATATATATAAAATATCATGCTCTCGGGCTGTGTCGGTTTTATTGCATCTCTGCTCGCTCTCTCTGTGTGCACGAAAGGGGTTGGGCCAATTCTCGCTTCACTCTCTCGTGCGCGATCGGACCTCAGTTTGTATATGTATAGCTGTGGCCATACATATATAGTGTGTACGTAGGGCGGCGATAGCGCAGGCCGCTGCGCGCTGGCCGCGATCCAAACAGTAAGATACAATTCACTCTCGATATTGCAAGCGTCTCATATAATTTCTTATACCGATGTTATAAATACAGACGACCGCGAAATTTTCGAAAAAGACGAAATATAGACGGGACTATATTACTTATAATGCGGTTACAGCTCCGTAATACCGAAAATGCTTAAATACCATCACGGGTCAGCTCTTAGCCAGAAATAACTCATTTGCAGCCCGTACATTAATTTTACTGCACAAGCTTTATTAAGGGATTTTTCCATCGTTACGCGCTTACCGGGGCTCGCGATCAGGGGCGAGCAAGGGTCGCGTGTCTTTTTCAGATATTCTCTCTTTCTCTCTCCCTTTTTCCCTCTCTAATGAATCTTTCGGCTTTGGAAAATAAATATTATGCAACGGGCTTGAGCATTACGAAATGGCTATAGTACGCGGCGCGAGGTGAAAAAAAACGTGGCTGTGTAGCGGCCACAGCAGCAGCACGAGGCAAAAGCAGCGCTCACGCGCGGCTGTGGGAATATCATTTGTAATACTTACCATTGAGCACGTGAACGGTGACGGTTTTTGTGTTGGCGTTGCTCGGATGGCAGGTGTACTTTCCGCTGTCCGCAGCCTGCGCTCGCTGTATCAGCAGATACGAGGTCGTCTGCTCGCCCTTCTCCGTTATTACCGACACTCCGCCCCTCGGACTATCGTAATTTATCTCCTGCGAATTTATACACAAACATCATACACATAAATATTTTTCTCAGTGTTACAATATTATTATACAAGAATGTATAACGTGCAGCTATACACGTATATTTTTGTCATTCGAAATTGCGCAAGCAGCGAGCAAATCGTAAAAGTGTAATTTTGCCCATTCAGTTAGATACTGACACTCGCTCTCCTTCTCTTCCTCTTTAAATTTATATAAAGTTATCTAAATTTCGAGAGTGTACGTTCGCGTGGCTTGCATACGCTTTCAGCGCGCTCACACGCACACTTATAAAGCTCGCGAGAACAAAGAGGCGCGTATATGGTTATAAACTTTTGTACTTCCTAAAAGTCACTCAGTCGTGCAAGTATTCTATGGAGCATATAACGTTGACGCGAAATTGGACATAAGTCAAACTTGAACGCGTACGTTCGAATACAATGCCGCCGGGCTTACCTTTACCTCGTATATAATGTACTACGTTCCTTCGAATGCAGTCATCGCTCGTCAACGGTTATGCTATATTTACCAAAATAAAACTCGCGCACACGTGCTTTATTACTATAAACTTGTAAAGTCTCCGCAGCTGGAACGTCTTCATCTCTCGCGGTGGATTTAGCTTTTATATAAATGCGTCCACTTGGTTCGACGTTCGAAGAATGGCTCGTAAATGATCGGTTGCTCGGGAATTCTCTATAGGAAGCTCGTCAGTCAATAATCACCACGTTTGCTGCATCATCATGTGCATCGCGCGCGTAAAAGAGCGCCGACATAAGAAGGTGAAAAATTACCTGTGTATTGTGCGTCCATACAATGGCAGGCGGTGGCTCGGGACTGTGCAGCACGACGCAAGTGAGATTCATCGTGCTGCCTCGATTTATATACATGTCGCTATCTCCAAGGATTTCCGTCACTGGCTCTGCGAAATGGAAAAATAATATTCTATATCAATTGCTGCGAAAAGAGCACAACTGCACTGGACTGGCGATTGATCGATCGTAAAATTGCCTTCATATTTTTTTATATTTCTTTGAATATTGCACGCCCGTGTTAGCGCGCGCGCGAGCGCATATGCATGTACGTGCGTACACGAGCTGCAACATTTTTTTTTTCTCTCTCTCTCTCTCTCTCTCTCTCTCTCGATACCGAGCGCGCACGCATGCACACACATTGCAGGATATCTATCTGTACTGCTTTTGATTGCTTGTTTATTTCACGTTGAAAAAAATGTTGGCCACTCGCTTGACATGCGCCAGGAGAAGCCCCGTAACGCGTTGTGCGTATAAGGCACATGCATACATGCAGTCAACAAAAATAAATACTGCAGTTGCTTAATTTGAACACGTACGCGCTGTACCCAAAAGACAAAAACCGATACGAGTCTATACAGTAGTGCTACTGTATAAGCTATATGAGCAATTCTCTAAATGAAACGCATTTTTGGAGGTAGAATCGCGGCAAATTTTTTTTTCAACCTAAGCGGATACGGACCCCTGGGAAATGTTTTTGGGGGTCCTAGGAATATGTAACCACGTAGGAACCATTGAAATTTCAATAGTGCTTACTTTTATAGCTACTTTTGTGATTTAGAGGACGAAAAATCATGTTTTCTAGTAAATACGGCTAATTACTCAATTTCTAAGTCGCTGAAAAAGTATCAAAACTCATCTAAAAAAAATAACTGACTGCTGTGTTCAATAGGAAATTTTCTCAGCTTTCCAATGGTGGTGTCAGATTTTCCGATAAGTCGCACATTCACCGAGAAAATCGCCATCAAACATGCCAAGCTAAATATCTCGAAAAACTCGGTACGGAAAAAGTGATCTTTGAGG